CGACAAACATAAGTATGCCATTTTATATAACATAAGTCTTTAACTTTTTATACAAATGGAAGGCAAACGAAAATTTGTACACGATTCCGGAAATATTATTTCATGAACAGCTAACTTTTTGCCTGCGTGGTTCTGTATTATACATATAAACCTTCCTCTTGGATTACTTTTAAATATTAGGTTAGATTTTTTTTATAATTATCGAATTATATACACGTTCATTTGACATTCGCGAACTCATAAAATATACTGCACCTACATAACAATCCCGTTTTTAGCAATGGTTCTGATACGTAATAGAATTGTAAATTAAGACATGTGTGTGATATTGTGTGACAAAGAGCTGGGACCCTTTGTCACACAAGGTCACATATCGTCACCCTCTCTTCCTTAATTAGTAACGTCATCCATTCAATTAAACAAACTTTAAATATAGCCTGATATTTAAAATGTTCAAAGACCTTTCCATACCTTTCATTTATGTAGTATTCGATCTCAAGGTTGAATTCGGTCGGCTGAATTATTGCATCAAAATCTAAACTTTACATTTTGACGAATATAGTATTTCATTGTTTGACCTTTTAATAACGCCTTTCACTTTTTGAGCCTAGGCATATTCTTTAGCTAAGTACGGTTACCAGCCACAGTATAATGCAGTGTCTGGTTAAGTGAAACACAACTAATATGTCATAACGATGTACCCGTACATGATGAATATCTGCGCGCTTCAAATGTCGATCGGTCAATCGGGGGGCCAATTTTAAAATCCATCGCAATCCCATTCCAATTGACTTTTGAAAGATATTCATGAACTTAAACGATAATTGCTTAAAATTTAGAAATATCACACGAACGAATTGAATGCTTACTGAAATATTTGAAGTAAAGTCAAATCATCATTCATTCCTAAAGTGATTGCGATTTTTAAAGTTAAATAATTCTATAAATCGCTAAAGCTTTGAAAAGGATTGCGGTAGATTTCAAAATTATACTATTAATTCAATGGATGATTTAAGGAGCGCCCTATCGATTGATCTCGCCGCGTAAGGATACACAGGTGAATAATTCAAAACCCAGGATTAATTCTAGACATTTGATGAAAATTCCGGACTTTCTTGTAAAATTAAATGTCAATGTTGAAAGTTCTTTTCCTTAAATAGAAACGAAGAGAATAAATAAATAGAAAGTCAAAGGAAACGAACAAGAGCTTCTATGTGTTATTATATTTGATAAATTTTACATTCACAATGCTATACTGAAAAATGTTAATGCTTAAAAATCCACTTTGTCCCTGGCACTTTAAAATGGGACACTTTCTGCAGGTTTGCTCAACATAATTTTAAAAAGTTGAAATCTCTGCAGCCAATACGGAACTAAAAATAAAAGAAACAAGTTGTATTATTATAGACAACATTTTCATTGCAGACAGGAGACCTCTTAGATTACAAATGCGCCACAGAACGAGCCCCGATTACAATGAGAGTTTTGTTTACTGAAACCATAATTTAGCGAGCAGTAAATTCGCACACAAATTATATGTGTTTTATGTACTCATTGACATCTTTAATTCATACACTTATTGTTATAATTATAGAAAAATTAACTTTTTTCAATGGCTTCACATCCGCCATATTTAATACTAGTTTTCAGCCAGCGGTTAGCCCGCGTGGTCCTTCCTATGAAAATTCTTAACAAACTTTACCCTTCTGTTCAAATTCTAAAAATCCTTACGTAAATAAACAATATACGTACGTCATAAAAGAAATCCCTATGACAAAATTCAAGTTTCTAGGTAGAATAGTTTCGGCTGTGCGTTATATAGAAGTCAGTCAGCTTCTAATTTCTAATGATATATTGTCAAAAAATATGAAGAATATGATGAAAAAGTTGGACGATTTAAAAGTACTTTTAAGAAGTCTATTTGAATAAAGATTATTTTGTCTTTTGACTTTGACTTCATGAGAATAAAGAGATTCACATATACACATTGAACCTAAACACAGCACACTCCTTTTTTTAGGTAGTTGTGTAATAAAATAAATTGAAAACTAATCAGTCACAATGTATTAAAAAAAAGTTATGCAATTTTACTAAATATATAATAATGAGCGTGCTAATAACCTACTCGTAACGTAATACTTCATGTTTGCAACGCGAAAACCGGTCTGACAACAACTTTATACGCTGCCTACGTCAATTTCGCAAATTTTGATAACATTCAGAGACGCGTTACTTTAATAAATAACTTCACATTAACTTTGTTCAACGAAATGACCTTCCAGATAAGCTGTTCTTATGTGTAACTACTGGCGTAGTGCATAAGTGTCGCGGTTTAGGAGCGTTATTGTAAAACGATTATCCTTGGTCTCGAGTGCAATTGCAGTAGTTAATATCTTCCAATCCGTATGGCCTATCCTCCTTAATCATACATAAGGAGATCGTGTCCCTATAGTGGGAACGTAAGAGGGAACTTAACAATAACACAAAGGAACAGTGATTACACAGCAACACCGATGATTATTTAATTTTGTTGTACTACCCCCAGTAATTACGAATTGCAGCACAAATATTTTGTAGAGGAAGAACCCAACTCGCTTTTGACTTTTTTATATTTTGACTACACAGTAGCCGTGACACCGAAAATATGTCTAATAACTATACAAAATGCTTAAAAAAACCAGTTGGTCATTATCATCTTTATGGAAAGTTTCAATATTTGTTACAATATTTCTTTCGGCTGTTTTGGGTGGATGCCTGAACATTGATGAGAATACGCTCTGTAGTAGCGAAAAGTAACAAGTGCTTGAAAGATTCGTCAGCCCTGTTAGGTCCTGGGTAGCTCAGTGGTTAGAGCAGTTATAATAGTTATATAGCAAGTATAATTTTCAGTATGGCATTGTGAATGCAAAATTAATCAAAATATAATAACTATACATATACAATATTCCGTCTATACTGACAAAGAGGTAAACTTCAAACTCTAGGCGATTATCTTCAGAAATTCTGATCTTATCATGAAAATTATGTCACCCACGCGAAGCTACATCATACGCAGGTGATAGTCTATAATTCACGTAATCACGGGAAAACAGCCACTTAAATATAAAAAGTTTATACGATATTTGTTATTTCAAATATAATTGTTTTTGCATAGAGCCATATTTGTAAAAAAAATATATAACTGTCAAAAACAATATTCCCCTGACTTCGACAAATTTTAACCGGGGTCAAGCCGTTCTCAAGTTGTTTCCGTAATAAAATAACATAATATTACTAAAAATACTGTTTAATTACAATTGCATTTATAAAGAACGTGTATATATAAAAAAAAATCTCGTTTAATGACTATTTAAGTACAAATCAATTATCGCTAATATATATAATCCATATAATTTAATGTAGAATTTAACAATTACGTAACAAAATAATTTTAATGATTACCTATACAAAAGTCAGCCAAATGAACTTCTTTTTTAAAATAACAAATATTGGTCCAAGCTATGTCCATTACAAAAAACCTATATTAAAATATACATAATATATAAGTACAATATTTAAACGAATTTAGGTACTGTAACTATAACACTTGCACATTATAAATTCTACAAGTTTCCCGCCATTATAAAAAAAGAACACGATAAGCATGCAATTTATTCCATTCATATGAAATTGACAAAGATTCTTAACTTCAATAGGTATTCACACAGTAGTCGATATACCTTTCAGTGTTATTAATAAACAAGATTTAGCGTTGTAATAAATTTACGCTGAGACTGAACTTAGTATTAGTCAAAATTCATATTATTAAACAGAGACTTGGCAAAGGTTAACCTTGTACGAGGTTCTACGGGAGTAATGTTTACTCCTAGAAGGTAGATTTGCTTGTTTTCTGTATAATATTATATAATTTAGCGTAATACTAAAATTGCAATTTTAGCGCATATTTACTCTGACGCTAAACTTTGTTTATTAATAGCACTGCTAGAGTTCGACAATTGATATGAAAGTTTCGAGAACTGATTTTAAGGGTCGACGAGGTCTAATAATAGACTCCTATTGACACAAATCCTTATTTGATACTTTCTAAATTATGTAAATAGTTTACCCACTAAGCAAACCGCAGTTTAAATAATGTATGTTATAATAGGAAAAAAGTAGAGATCAGATTATTAATGTTAACTTTGAGGGGTCTGAGGTATCAGTCTGTTTACGTTAAGGAGTTTCTTGGTGAAATAGTTTGGGAGTCCCTGCTATAACCGTAAAATTACATATACGCAAGTCCACTCCAATGTAACTTTAGTTCAAGTAAAAAAGACAAAATACTATATAAATGACATAATACTTTATTGGTCATCCATATATTATGTCACACATGAGGTTTTCAACACAGTGGGATATTGTGTGACAAGTGGTGAGAGATTTCGTGACGTCACATTTCAAAAACAAAGCTGTTATTTTAATTTTGATAGTTTCTTAGAGTAAAATTATATAACATGTAACATTACACACAGAAGGGGGTTCCTTGTGAGAAAATGTGACAAGGATGGGGTAGGAATCAAAAATCAAGAAATGCAAGTGATGTAATTTATGGATGATTCCTTAAGTAAAAAAGGGGAATTTACCTCTGGATCAATCCGATTCTATCTTTTTCCCTAATTAAGGAAAGAACGAAATACACAATGGTTTTAAAATATAATTGCCGATATTCTTCTACCTAACATTTCTTATAATCATTTCCAAATTGGTCCAAATGTGACTAGTCTAGGAAACACATGAAAATTAAAGACTGACGTATATCTAGCTTAAAGCTAAATTTACACATTGGTTGCATTAAAAATCACAACACCAAATAATTAAGACAGCATATTCATGACTGGTTTACATGTGTTTAAGTAGTAAGTAGAGTTTTAACTTCATTTTTTGTCATTAAGTATGTATTATTGTGTTTTCAAATACTTATACTCGGTTTCTGAATTGAGAATTTAAAGTTTCAGAGTGTACTTTAGTTTAGTTTTTTAATGATCAGTTGATTGGAGTTTGATAAAACTAGGACTTTTTGTTTTGTGAACCGTAAAAACTTAACTTATTGATAATACTCAATCAAGATTTTGTACTTGCACTTAAAATAAAGTTAAAAGTCTATTTACTATTTAATTATGTGTAAACTAGCCATTAAACAAATTTAGTAAATAATTTATTGCTTTGTGGATTGTGATGCTTATAATTTATAGTTATTTAATATTTTTATTTTATTATACTTATGCAATTTTGGGAACTCCTTATAAATAATTGGCATTAATTTAAAAATAATCTAATAAAGAGGATTCAAGTTATTTCTGTTGCAAAAGTAATTAACATAAATGGCTCATAATGATGCAATTATTTTTCAATTTATACTATAAAAATGTAACTTTGTTAGGAGTCATTAAATTTTATACAAGGAAATAAGTAATAACTATATTTATGTACAAATAAAATTTATGGAAAGTAATATATCTATCATGCATAGTAAATATCACAAATGTAGAGAAACTTATTTGTAAATAATGTTCAATGTTTACCATTGACACCGTTAGTCGCAGATTCTCTAATGCTGTGTAAATGGAATGGAGTGATGGCGAAAACCTCTCCTTTAACGAGATCCTCCAAGTTTTCACCACCGTACGACAACAATGGTGATATTTCAACGTCAATGTTATCTGCGATCTCTCCACCAGCTTCACGGATGTATTTTCTGTGTAGCCGTAATAAATCTTCCCTGGCAGTTGACGGACAGTCTTTTTTTGCAGAATCTGCATTCTTCAATGCAGAGAACTCTACATCCCTAGCTACTTCCAAACATATGAAATTGTCAGCAAACTCAAACACATCAAAAATGAATTTTTCCATTTTAATACCGTTAGGCTCTGTTGGCTTTTGACGGACTCCATTCTCATTTACGTAAGGTATCTTTTTCTTTGCAACATGCAATTTAAGTTTTGACTCAAAATCACAGATTTTAGAAAGGAATTCAGAAGAGAAGTAATGATTGCAAATATTACCTGCTGAGAATGTGAGACGGCCGTCCGTGTTTCTACGGTTTGTTGCCTCTTCAGTCATTTCCGAGTATTCAACTACCTTATAGTGACCGTTCACACGACAAACTACACCGACAGCTTCACTAGGGGCTGACTTTTGAACCACTTTTGCTGCACAGTCAGCATTCTTACTTTTACAGTAGCCAATAAAAACAGGATCAGCTACCTTAATGAGTATATTGTCTACAGAATGAGCATGTAAATGTTTTACATTTCTTCTGTCAATGTCATTGAGGACACCCTGTGTTTTCAAAGCACGATACAATCCACCATTTCCATCAGGCGCAGAAGATAAGTGATATTTCTCATCCAAAATAATTTTTCCGTCAAAATCAAAGCATGGAAGCCTACCTTGCTCGAAGTAGACAATATCCTCTTCACACAGTCCGAAGTAATCATGATTTTTGAAGAACTCTTTTGTCGGAGCCATTGTATGTTCTGAAGTCATAATGTACCATGTTATTTTGCCTTGTTTACCATATTTCTGAGCAGCCATCTCCTGAATCCTCACTATTCTTTCAGCTTGAATTTGGAATAGAGTTTTCTTTGACGGCAATCCCACATCGTACATACCTTTAGGATGTCCAAAGCCCAATCGGGTTGCTTGACCTCCAGCTAACAGTAGAACGCCAACTCTGCCTTCGGAAATCTCCTTTAAGCCGATGTTTTCATATTCTATCACTTTTTCACTAGTTAAATTCGGAACAGACTCGTAATGAGTTTGTGGTATCGGTTTCAAGTCATCATCTAATTTTTCTTGAATTATTTTTGTTGTTTCATTCGCTCGACGGAAGATTTCGTTGATTTCAGTCAAGTTTAACTTCAGGATCTCATTGGATAGTTGTGCCCGCTCATTATCACTTAGTTCCGGCCAGAATCTGATAAGATGTTCCTGACCATGGGCCTTAAGAGATTCTTGAAGTTTTTCGAAAGACATATTATCACGATATCAGGTGCGAACGGCGCGATTAGAAAGTGGTAACTGATGCATGATCCGCACACCTCGCCGATACCAACTCCCACCACATTTTAATATTATGCGAGAGGAAAACAAACACGTAGCCGACTCAACATCGCCGACATCGTTGTTTGACGTTTATTGACATTTAGTGACACTGACATTGACATTTTTTTATAGCAAGCATAGAAATCTATTTCCATGACATTTCCCCATATAAGTGTACACAAAACCATAAATTTTAAAACCATCTTAAGATATGCTAACTCCCCTTTCGACAACATCCCATGTTATTATATAACAAATAATAACATACGTTTTTGATTTGTCTGTCACAGAATTTACTAACATCTGTAATAGGTATAATGTGTACGTCTCTTCCAGGGTAACACTTTCAAAACTCATAATTTAATTTGGGCTTTCACTACAAAACATACGGAAATCAGAGTCTATAAATTATGAAATAAACTAAAAGAAACACTTGGTTCTGGCGAAAACCATAAGGGCAACGCCAATGATGAGGAAGTATTTTATTAAAACATAAGTTCCCGAAATCAAACTAGATTTCGCTACGGTACTTTCTTATTTTCTCCATGCCGATCCATCCGGTTTTCTTTCATTTATAAAAGTAAATTGTTTCTGAAAATTCAAAACACAACTCATATTCTATTTGTACTTTTTCGTATTCGTATTAATATCTTAGTCTTAATATGTTATTGATTTTCCCAAATTGACTTTGTGAATTCGAATATTATTATAACATTGTTCACATTTAATCTTTAATATAACATCAATAGTGTTACTAAACTAAGTTAAAATCTTAATCAGTCTAGTTGGGAAATTTAAACAAAGCTAGAGTCTGGCAAGCGAAACGTGTCACAAGAAAAGGGCGGCAATTTCAAAAATTCTTAAGCAGTAAACACTGAATGTAGTACTGCAAAATAATTTTGATACTTGTTATTAATTATATTTAATCTTAACATTTAGATATCATTTAAAATTATTTGTTTTGGAACATTTGACTAAAGCGTGACTGTTCTTAATTGTACAGTTAACAGCATATCAGTAGGCCTATTCACTAACTCAACTGACAACCAAGAATCGTCATCACCGTAAAAAATAGACACTTTGATTGTGTCAAAATCACTATTTCGTATTCTCTATCAATGATGAGCAATTTCGAAATGTCAATATCGGCATTCTCCACTGGACTCCATTTTGACACTTGATTTCGTATCGATAAACTGTATTAAAGTAACATTGTTGCAAAGCATATTTGAAGTCGTCGCATAGTACCTCTTAAGCCATTTGTTGTTAAATTAAAGCGAAAAAAAATACGTATCCAATATTTTTCTATTATCTGACTGACGGACTAAATCGAATCTTTTTTTTAACCCATTCGTTATACCTATTGGCTAACAGCACTTATAATATTAAAAATTCATATTTGTCATTAATTAAAAGGGTGTTTTTTGCAACGACTTCTTTGTTTTTTTGTAATGAATATGGGCGACTCTGGCCACATTTTTTTAATAAATGTGATGTTAGCCAATTTTGATTTCTGGCCCTTATATTTATAATGTGTTCATAACACATACATGTCTCCTAAGGGATTTTCATCACAACCTTTTGCTCTGATCCAGAACCACTATCTATCAAATTAAATTAGTCAATATAAACACCAGATTACAATAAAAAAAAACATTTATTTTTGTTACAATTAAGTGCCATGGATAAATTACATAATACAGGTGTCACAAAATCATCATGTTAATCACAATAGAAAATTTAAGATAAGATTTTGACTATGAATCAGACTAAAAATACTTTAGTCTGATTCATAGTCAAAATCTGTTTCTAAATATTCTACACCTGATAACAATGACAAGGAATCATCAGAGTCACTCTCTTCACTACTGTCTGCACCAACAGATATAATAAATTTTTCAAGTTCGTTTTCAACAATGCCATCTTTTAATTTGTAATCATTTTCGACATTTAAAACATGATCAGTGTATTTCTTCCAGTCACTAGGGGTAATTAAGTTAAAACACTCTATTATTAAGTTTTCCATTTCCTTTCCTGGTATTCCAATGTTTCTGCTTGCAATTTTTCTTTTTGCTTGACTCCAAACCATCTCTATTGGGTTTAAGTCACAATGATACGGTGGCAGCAATAAAAGTTCATGATTATGTTCTTTTAAAATCTCTTCAGCTTCATATACAGGCAATGTTTTCTTATCATTAACCAAACACATTAACTCTGCCTTTGTCTGATATTCCTCAAAATGTATTCCATTATTTACAAGCCATTTACGGATATCTGCTTTGGTATTAGACATTATAGGCGGTTTATTGATTTGTTTTATATGGTAGCTGGCATTATCCATAACAATTACACTGGGCTTACTTAAATTTGGTATTAATTTTTCTCTGACCCATTTCATAAAGTTCGATGAGTTCATATCATCATGATAATCAGCAGATTTGGATTTACTACTGAACACTAATAATGCACCAGGCACAAAACCTTCCTCAGATCCAGCATGCACAACAATATGCCGTTTTCCAGAGGATATCTTTGTAGTGACACCAGTTGTTGAAGGTCCTTGCCAAGACTTTTTAACTTTATAATTCTGATGTACATAAGTTTCATCAAGGTACACAATTTGCTTTCCTTCGTTTCGTTTTATATTTATTTCTCTCAAATACTTGTGCCTCCATGCAGAAATCTGGTATTTTTCTATAAGCATAGAACGTTCATTTTCATTGCTTTTAAAAGAAAATCCATTCTTAAGCATAATTTTTCGTAAAGTCTCACGGCTACCACTGAATCCTATTGCATCTTTTAATTCATTGTGAAGGCTTCTTAATGTTGGAACAATTTTTTTCACACAGTAAAATTCATTTACTTTATTCCGAATTGCACTTAAATCAAAATTATCTAAAGCAGACACTGTTGGTTGATGAGGTCGTTTTTTCCCAGGAGTGTCCCATTTTCCTTTATTAATTAATGCTTCATTTTTTATCCTTCTTAGTGTCCTTATACTTACATCTATAAAAGATTAAACACTTTGAAACAAAGATATGTTAAATGTATTTAAAAGCAAATAATGATAGACACATACATCAAAATAATTTAAATACCTATTCAACTATGAATGCAATTTATGTTTAATTTAGTTAAGTTTATGTGCATATTTAGCATGTATAACAATTACATGGTTTGATTAGTTTCATGAATTCTGTGAATTTCCTTGTTAAACAAAACATTCTTATGACATCATTGGATGTCAACAATAAAAACCAATACATCATAAAAAACCTATGTAAATATTATAGGAATACTATCAATCTATCTTAAATCAAAACAAGAAAAGAGACCTGTCATTGAAGAAATTTTTTGTAAGTACTGCGTTTCCGAATTCAGCATTTCTTGTTTTTCTAAAGTTTTTATTGCATCTATCTCCTCCATTATTGGTTGAATATCACCATCACAGTTATCTGAAATAGAGCAATATTTTATAAAAAATATCTGTTTAGTTAATTACAGAAAATTAAAACGAAAGTATCAAAATTATAATACAAAACTAACCTAAAAAAGATACAACTTTATCTAATCGTTGTAATTTCTCCATGAAATTTTTATTTAATTCAGTTTTCACTTCAGTAAACTTGTCAATCATGATGGAAAGAAGTTTCCTCGATGAACTTTTTATCGGCTTCGACATAATTTTTAACCAAAAACACAAGTTCAAATTCGCAAAAACAACAAAATTCAATATTCTTGAATTGTCTAACGTAGTGTCAAACTGACAGTTCTATGTTGTTGCCATATGAAAACGGAAAAATAGGTGGTGTCACGTTTCGCTTGCCAAACTCTATATATTTTATAATTAAACAGTATGTTAACTTACTATTATATAAAAATAAAATAGAAGCCATCTTTATATAGCTACTGTAAAAGAATATCTTTTGTGAGCATAAATTAAACAGTGGCTGTATAATAAAATCCAATCAGAAACAGAATGAAAACAAATAACACGCTTCGATTAACAATACAACACGGGATTGTTTTATTAATTATAAAGAAAATACCCAAGATTTGGCTGTATGGCTTAGTTCTTTCGCCTATGTCATGGACGAAACAACTCGTAGACAGAGAAAGCAATAGACTAATGGTATGTTCTATCTCATTCATCGGGAAATGAAATGACTTATTACAATTTTCATTAGTTAAAGTGAGATAAAAACATTATTTGTTGTCCTTATCGATGTGGCCGGTTTTTTTGTTTGGCACCAGGCTTGTTTGGCACCAAAACGTCAAAATTTTAGGCATAGAAATTGTTGGACTCAAATAATATAGAAAAAAGTTGGAAAGAAGTGTATTTAAACAATATTTTATATGATGTATAGAGTTTATAATTAAGAAACGTTACTTGCAAATTAAAATAATGGTTAAGTGCAGTGTTATATCTTGCAAAAATAGATCCGAAAGGAATATTGTAGGTGTATCATATTTCAGGTAAGTTAGAAGCATTTTGTTTATTTCTTCGTCAAGGTAAAATTTCTCAATGCCATAACCAATGTGAATATTATTAAATACGACACATAACAAGCTAAAAATATTATTAAATAAGTTGAATAAGAACATAACCTCAAATCATTAAGGCTGTCATCTAAGTACTTAAAATCTCCCCTCAAAGTGCTTTTAAATTAAATTATCAATATTCTGTTAAACAAATATCAAAATGTTTGAAACTCAACTATTTTTTAAGTACATAGTACTACAAAATGCGATTTAAAAAAGCAATTGGGCAGTTTTTAAACTTCTGATTAAAATAAATCCAAGTTAACCTAAAATATATTAGCATTTAAAGCGTCTCAGTAAAGTTTTGCATGATTATATTAAAATACCGCTTAATTTACTGTAATGTAATTTTCTAGACTTAATTGAACATGATTTCTGTATTTAGAATCACTAAAAAATGTGCTATGTATTTGGTTAGAAATGTTTGAGTTTATAGTAGATAATATAACTAATTTATTTAGATTAATTAAATCGACATTTGAATTTTGTTTTGATAAAATGGCGGTAATGTGGAATGGATGTCGGAACGGGAGATGGATAGCTCTTGTCACGGCCCCTTTTTTTTGTGTCACCCTCTTGTGTACTTGCTGCAGTTAAGTAGACAATTAATTTATTTTTTGTGATCGAGTAAGTTTATTTTAACTTATATATCTAATTATTTGTAAAATTTTTGTGGAAACGAAGTAAAATGCTTTTTATTTTAGTACCCTCTTTGATTTCACCCAACCTGTAACTTTATTTAATATTGGTTTAGTAATTTACAATTATTTTTATTATAATTATTAATTGATTTTTCTATTAAGTCATAGCTCTTAATAAATCTCACACACTCAACAGCGTACATCGGCAGAATAGATTAAAATAGGTCTGCAGGTGTAATGATTTACACTAATTTTTATTATTAAAAATTTATCTATACTTAATATTATAAAAATTAAAGGTTTTATTGTTTATTTTTTACATCGAATAGGCTCCGAAACCACTGGACCGATTATTATATTTGATCAATCTCAAACTACCAGGGACAAAGTGGTTATTTAAGCATTTTTATTAAGATTACTGAACCAATTTTAAAAACTCTTTCACATACGCAGTTAACATAGGCTACAGTTTACACGAGCGAAGTCGCGTGAAAATAGCTAGTTTATAGATATTCTAGTTTGAGATAAGAAATCTTCTGGGACTGATACTAGAATTCGAGCGAAGTATCGTGGTGGACTAACGATAATCGTCAAGTTTCTTTATGAAATCGACCAGGATAACGGATACGACGGCAGTGATGTACAAACGCCCATACTTCGAAAACACTAATACGTGCTCTGCTAATACTGTCTTGAAGTAATGAAATCCAGAATCTGAGTAATTACTGATCAAAGTCAAAATAGGCTTACATATTTGTTTTCGATCACTAATTATTAAGATTCTGGATATCTATTTATTAGTATTTCGTCACTAAATATGAGACTAAAATATTCGATTGGATTAGTTAGAATGATAAAATACTCTGTAATACTCTCTCTTACTAAGATCTACGAAATATCAACATGTGTAAATAGTTTCAACGTTTTATTTCATTCTAAAATGACCTATGGTTATAAAAAATGGCCTTTCTAACAGCTATTGAGTAAACATACAGTGGCGCTGCTGGACAGACGTTAGCCCAACATCATCAAAATGTTTCTTATTTGCCTTTCTAAACATAATTTTATCATTGAATAGGTACGTTATTCTCCTTTAAACGGTTTTCTTTATTGTCTATATATTTTTTTTTTTAATTTTGGTTGAACTAAATTTTCAAAATAGTTTTGTTTGTCTAAATTAGAGTTTTTTGAGAATATTCTAATTTAGTCAAACTTAACTTCAGTAACCAAGCCCATTGATTCAATGTGCTAGTTAATTTTAGATGATAGATAGTGTATCAATATTTCTACAATAAAAAAATGTTCCTCTATTACTAATTCTTTCATCCATGGGAAGTTACATCATACGTGGTTGACTACAGCTATAATTTGGTGAAATCGCAGAAAAGTTGATAGTTTCTGAACAGTTCTACAAATTTTGCTGACCAAATTATTGCTCCTTTGCTAATAACAAAATATCTCCCCATAATCGAGGAACATTTAACTACCTGGTAACACTGATGATTTATTTGTTGTCCCTTACGGTGGCACGCCTAATAGCCCTCTACTAAGTAGTTACTCTAAGAAACAACTACTACTTAAAATGAAAAGAAAGCATCTCTGCAAGAAAAAGGACAGTGGCTTGGTGAAATTCAGAAGGATATCAGTACCTCATGGTTTGACAAGGATGATTACAAGTCAAGAGATTTTTACACTACCTTAAGCAGATTAAGAATAGGCCATTGCTTTTTCAAAGATCATTTGTATCGATTAAAGATTGTTAACTCACCTATTTGTGACTTCTGCAACATGGAGAACCAGTCACTAGATCATATCGTTTTCAAATGTCCTTCATTTAAAGGTCAAAGAAAAATACTCTTTCAAGAATTATAAAGAATGAAGATTTTTAACGAGGAAACCATCCCGCGCGACTTAAGAAAACTCTTATCAAACATTGACAGTTATGTTCCTGTATACAGATTTGTCAAAAATACAGTTCAAAAGATTTAAAGATCAAGAAAATCCAGGCAGGGCTGTATGGACCTAACACCCTTTGCCCGTCCCAAACAAGGGGGACAAATTAACCAAAAAAAAAAATAAATAAAAAAAAAAAAAAAAACAAAAATGTCAATTGTCAAATGGATCCGTCATGGACCCAAACGGTTATTTATTTGTTGCTTGTGTTGCTTGAGTATATTCTAAATACAATATTTGGAGTGTGCTACAATATTTTATTTACTATAAAGAAATTACTATATCTGTCCTTTAATGAAATAATGACCGAGACATCGCAAAAACGCAAACGAAACATGAACGAGAACCATACCGTTGCAGCAAGAGGTATTATAAACGCGAACTGGCAAAAACTCCTTAGCAGCAACCTTCTCTCGGACCAGAAAACGGAGAATCCATCTGATAACGACAAAAATAATCATTACACTGGCACATTCCGTCGCGCACGAAAGAAAAAAGCGCAACAAGCCACAGTTGAAAATAACCTCAAAACTTTAAATCTAAATAAGTCCCACAATAATAACATTCAACCAGCTGTCAGTGACAACACAGAAGTTAAAAAAGTAGATAGTGCAGTGAAAGATAATAATAAAAATAGAGTAACAAAATTTATAGCCATGGACTGTGAAATGGTGGGAATAGGTCATGATGGCAACGACCATATGCTCGCAAGAGTTTCTTTAGTCAATAAATTCGGTGATTGTCTTTATGATAAATTTGTTAAAGCCCGTGAAGAGGTGGTGGACTATAGAACGGAAGTAAGTGGGATACGGAGAGAGGATATGTTGAACGGTACAGACTTTAACATTGTACAACAAGAAGTGGCTGATATAATCAAAGGTCGTGTGCTTGTTGGACACTCGTTAAAGAATGACCTTGCAGTACTGTTTCTTTCGCATCCCAAAAGAAATATTAGAGACACGTCAAAATATAAACCGTTTAGAAAGGTTAGTAATCTTTAAATATGTTCTTTTTTTGGAAAAAAAAATTCTTATCAGTTTACTCCTAACATTACCAGTCACATTTAATCAATGAAATATAATTATACTATTAATAAAACTTTGAATTATTTACAAACTGAGACTGCAATTTGACAAAATCTTAACTAAATTTAACTCATGTACCAGTCCTGGGCCCCTGGCTTAATCTAGTTTTATAAATATATTTTCTTCTGTACTGATTGTATTTAACTAGAGATGCACCTAATAGCGTTTAGACTGAGTAGAATTTTAATCATTACTGAAGCGGATATTTTAATACCAAACAAATATTTGGCACATCTCTAAATTATACAACTATAGTTCTATGAACTAGATAAAGGAAAAAATTCATCTAGTCCAAATGAACTATATTTCTTTTCATTTGAATTAACTGTTTTGAAATTTTTAACTGTTTTCAGATAACTAAAGGCAGCACTCCTTCTTTGAAACGGTTAGCAAAGGAAATTCTCGGTATAGACATCCAACATGGCGAACACAGTTCCATCGAAGATGCTAGAGCGGCAATGCAATTATATTGTACAGTAGCGAAAAAATGGGAAGCGACCATGAGTGATAAGAGAGGATATAACAAGAAAATTTTAGATGAATAAATATAGATTTTTATAATATTTATTTATTTATTTTTGAACTAGAGCAGCTTCTCAATCTCTCAATGATTAGACGGTCAATCTGGATGAGCAAAGTTGCAGATTAATGATTTAAATCAAATCCAAATGTCAGTTTCTGGAATCCTGTCGTGACCATAGCCTTCGCTCTTCTAACTGCAAACGGCTGTTTGTTCTTCTGGTTTTGTTTCTTACTTAATCACTCTTACTGCCCCATAGGTTTGCCTACATTTCCTGTTTAAATATAGTATTTTTTAATTAACTACACGTAAAAATATACAGTATGTAAATACCTGTCAAATACCACGGAAACAACGTAAAATTTAAATGCGTTAGAATATAGGTACACGCTATAAAATGAAATCATGTTTTATTCCCGTACGGGACCGTCCATTAATCACGTGGTTTTTTTTCAGCATTTTTTTAATCCCCCCCCCCTTGGCGATACATGGTGAGGTTTAAATTCCCCCCCCCCCCCCAAATCACGTGTATTTTTAATACTTGAAAAACCTAATTTTAGACGTCGCTTTTCGGTTTGAGGAAAGTGTAAATAAACGTGATATATTACTACTCTCCCCACCCCCCTTGTGATATTTCATGATTATCTACGAACCCCCTCCCCCCTTTCGAGGCCCACGTGATTAATGGAGGGCCCCTAAGCTTAATGAATAAAAGTTTTGAAACATTCAATTTTTGTATACCACATCTTTCGGTAGTTTTGTATAGCAAGAGCGAAAGAAAATTGCCAGATCTTAACAGAAATTAAATAAGCTATATATCTAAGCCGTCGCATTAATAAAAGCAAATAAACAGTGCGTCTACTACAGGCGCTCTCATAAGGGAAGAATTTATTTGTTAGATTTTGGTGATGAAAATATAGTATTATCGCGTACTACATATTTCTCCAAGAGCATATACAGGGTGTTTGGTAATACATGTATAAACCCGAAACATGGCCATGCAACCTAGCACAATTAATTAATATGTCAAAAAACAATTTCACGTAAATTGAGATTTTCATACAAATATTTGAACAATTTGTTTTTAATTAATATGCTACAACCCTGAAAGCTTACACGTGCCGTCCCGGCGTACTCGCTCTCTCTCTCTCTCTCATTACCTCTCACTTTCTCTCGTTTCCTAGAACAACAGCTGTTTTTAGGGTTGTCAGCGTACAGTTTTACTTCGAAGAAAAAAGCTAAATATCTAGGTCATGTGCAGGGTTTCAGACTTAGTGATCATTAGTCTGGGTTCTATTCATCATACCGTATGTGCCATATTCGGGATTATACAGGTATTACCAAACACGCTGTATGTAGTACGCCAGTGCCAGATCAGCAAATAATACGGGCCTCACGCAATTGAGAGCATCACTGTGGTCAGACCAGTAAATTAATTTTTCAAGACCGTGTTAAAATATAAAATAAGCCTAAACTCATATTTTTAAGTATAAACATAAACTGAAAATTAAAACATTAGTCTCAGATTAGTGTGTTGTGTTGTTCGGAAAGCAAAGGACTTTCCATTGATTATTCGTCAACAAGAAAGATATATCAGGTGAAGAATTCCCATAGTTTTTTGAATTTCAAAAAATTGCAACAAAATTTGCGAAATATATAATAATATTAATATAGTACAACACTATTATAGTACACCCAAAATATAGAACAACACTATTATAATTCGATTGGCAACCCTACTGCCACACGACTGGAATATCTTACCCTATAACAGGGATGGCGAACCTTTCAGCATTAACATGCCATTTTTTCTGACAAAATGTTTTAATAAAGCCATAGATATGCCATCAAATAATTTTGTCTTTGTGGTTATTGGGAAAATAATAAATTAAATATATATACTATGAACTCAAAACTCTTAATTTACCCCAATATTTTTGCATTCTTACATTTGGCTAACTTTATATTAATTTTAAATTACACGTGTAATTTTAACTAATGCAAAATAAGTATGACGTCCGTTGTTGCAAATTAGATGACAAGAAACTTATATGTATTGGGGTTGTAAGATGTTACTTTTATCAGAGTGCATGCTGAACGTTTTCTGTCATGTATAAAAATAAATTAGTTTTCAAAACTCAATAAAAAACTCATATTCTATTTGTACCTTTTCGTATTTGTATCGATATCTAAGTTTCGAACTTTTCGAATTTTAGTTTTTTAATACGTTAGTTAAAAGGAATGGAAATGACTGTCTTTGGTCCATTCGTTTCCTGCAAAAATCAACTTTTTCTAGAGTCGCCATCTAGTGGAGATGCCTTTTAGTGCTTTCGTTTTTTTAAATCCTTCCTCATTTACGTATGCTTGAGGAACAGTGCCAAAACATCCCAGATAGCATAGAAACTTGGGGCAAGTTTGATTTTCTTTGATTCTTAACCCAGTCATCATCCCTATTTTCTAATTTAAAAGTCTATCGCTATCATTTTGGAATTATTCAAGTCGAGTACCCGAGTACCTGCTAGGTATTCGAGTCAGTACCTAGGAAAATTATCATTACTACGAGATAGTGCAAGTTTGTCACCCTGAAACTAGCAAGTTTGATTTAAACTTGCTGCAAGTTGCCGAGTTAAAATTGCTATCTGGGATCCAAAAAAGAAATAAAAAATATTTTGCCGAGATTACTTGTTTTTGCTTATTAATTATATTTGATCAATTTTCCATTCACAATTGCTATACTGAAAAATATTGTTAATAAAAAATTTCTCAAATAATCCACTTTGTCCCTGGCACTCTGTGATAGGACTCGAACCCATGACCTCTGTAGTAGCGAAATAGTAACATAGTGCTTGAAAAATTCGTCAATCCAGTTAGTTCAGTGGTAAGAGCAGTCGTACGGATGGCGAGAGGCCATGGGTTCGACTCCCATCTCAGAGTGCCAGGGACAAAGTAGATTTTTAAGCATATATTCATTAAGAATATGCTTGTTTGTACCTTAATTTTGTGATTCTGTGATCTGAAAAATAAATACTAAAATATAAATACAAGAATTTTAAAATTAAAGTCAAATATCTAACCTATTACGTGACCTACAGTTGATAATTATATAGGAAGTTTAGTACTTTACTATCCTTCAATTGATATAATTTTATCATCCTCTGGATCTAGATCAAAAGCCTGCCTACATCATAATCCTGCGACATATCACTTCCACAGATACACCCTTTATTATTACAATTATAATCCTATATTATTATATTATAATTTTAACTAACTAGGATTATAATTGTAACCTAAATTTATTACAATTATAATCCTAGTTAGTTAAAATTATAATCCTAGTAAATCGCTTTCGTTTAACTATATTACCGTATATCATTATATCTCCTAGAATATTTCTAGTTGGTACAACTATATTAAAGCTTTATATATCTTACTGCGACATTAAGGAATCTAATACTAAAAGTCCATTGATTTAAGATGCTTATTTTATTTTATGAAATAGCCGGCCATATCATTAATAGATCAATTCTACGCAACGCAATATCTGGCCACGACATACCTATATCCTGATGTTAAAATCATAGCAAAAACACACTCTCACCAAACCACATTATCGCAGGCGTTACGTTACACATATAACTTTAAACCATAATCATCCACATTCTAGTTTTTATCGCGTTTAAAGTTTCATCTCAATAATATGAGACGAGAGGTAAAATACTTTGTGGTTGTAGGTGTAATTTGTGAAATGTAGTCCACTTTATGTTACCTGCCCTGCGATTCTGTAAAAAATCAGACCAGAGTTCGAATTCACTCATGTATCGGAATTCACATCATTTAGTGTAGAAAATCTATTAATTCAATTATTTGAAAATACACGTGGCTGGAGTGATTGCCAAAGTTTCAAGGTTTTATGAAATTGCATTAACGACTTGACGTTTTCAAAGAATTTAATTTTTTTTTCTATCTCTGCAATGTATTGATCTGGTAATAACATGGTTTTTGTAAATGTCATTAGTCTTATTAGAGCTGGTGAGTTTCTTGCTCGTTCTTCTTATCAGCCAGAAGACGTCCTGAACGAGTGGTAAGGAAAGAAATGTTGGACGATTCAAAAGTACTTTTAAGAAGTCTATTTGAATAAAGATTATTTTGACTTTTGACTCTTGAATGATCATCTTTTGTGTTGGTTTAGAATATATAGGGTAGTTTATTTCCGAAGTAAGTAGGTTGGCTGTTTATCCTTATTTCCTTCGACCAACAACATTGTTTAAAGAAAAAGTTATTTCGTAACGGACTAACAAACAAGGAGCTTATTTAAATAAAGAATTATCATAGCGAGTATAACGTAGTAAACTAGATGGGTCGGAACTACATGAATACAATAAGTTTAAAATTCATTCGAAAGCTTCGGAATTACTGACACTGGTTCGGAATTACAATTTAACTACTTAAACTTTCCCATTGTCCCATTTACCTGAAGTCGAATATTATTAGAGCAAATCTACTAACACGAACTGTGTTGACTTTCCATAATTACGCTTACATTAGCAGTATTTTTACTGTCACAGAGTGCAAATAAAACTATTGAAATTATTAAACACACATTTTTATTGAAAAATATACCTTTGATACTATAAAAATTAAAACAAGTTAGTGACTTATACTTATTCACCTGGCATATTCATTTTTAGTAAAATAAATGCATAAAAATACAATTAATTCGCTGTTCCAATCAGACAAATCACTAGGTAGTAGCGATGATATATTACCACATATGAGCGATTTTATTATAAAGTCGCATAGCTGTTGCGGCATCTTTCAATGAATCGTGGTAGTCAACTTGTATGTCTATATTTAGATGCTGTTTGGCTAAATCTTTTAGCGACCTCTTTTGTCCATAGGGAGACTGAAAAAAAAAACAAGCGCGAGTTATTAATAAATTACGAACAACGAAATGGTAAACGGACAACGCGAGTGGAAACCATGTATGACAATGATACGAGAAATAAAAAGTTTAATTCACGATTTTGTGTGACGTA